GTAAAAAACCATACTCACTCATACTCACTCAGATTGGGGAGAGAAGTTCACTCATGCTTCTTCACCTGACGGACCTTCTATGGAGGTGAAATTCTGGAAGAGAGATATCGTATCGGTATCAAGTCACATTGTAATGAGATTGGTTATTCGATAGTCGTCAGTATTTATTTCAGTACCTGGTGCTTGAGTACTCGGGTTCTGTCCAGCTATTGAGAGGAAATGAAATGTCACAGGAAATAAGAACATTTAATACATGTAAATGGACAAGCGTGATTCGTTGGTATGACGAGCCTTGTTGAGGGCTTCGTGATGTTAACAGGTTGTTGGTAAATTGGTCTGTGTGCCTGTTGTGTAATGGTTTTGTATGTCAACATACCGTCAACATACCGTCAACATACCACCAACATACATCATTCTTGGATGGAGGCTGCTGTGCAGATATGGAAATTAGCACTAGCCACCCTGGACCAGTTAGTTCTAGGTTAGAGGTACCCTGAGGGCGAGTAGAATTGGTACTGCTACATGTTATAACTATTTGGGCAAGTAGACGTTTTTGGTTAAATTCCATTCCTGATGTGACTTGTGGAAAAGGTCTGAAATTGGATTTGGATGAACCGTCTACATATCTGTTATAAGACTTATTTGATGGCGAATGCTGGCTATTTGGGTGTTTGTGACACAATGATTGTTCCACATTCTTCTCATGTGTCTGTTTTACTAATACTGTATTCGTCGAATAAGTGCCCAGGGCGCTCTCCAAATTAGGAATAGGGGGCTCTTATTAGAATAATATTTTGGTGAAAAAAACAGAGTTGAAAGATAAATTTTGTGGTTTATGCTGACGGCCTGAACTGTTTATATACGACAGATATATTTTTCCAGAATTTAATTGCACATAATTAAGGGTGCATATAACACACGAGTGCGTATTATACATGAATAAATAAGTCTTGTGTACATTGATCAATCGGAAGGAGTGCTAATTGGGATAGTTCACTTGCCAATATATTAGCAAATATCGCCATGGGCGCTTATTAGAGCGGGGCGCTTATTATGTCGAATACGGTACATATATTTCCTTAACAGCTTATACTCATGAAGAAGTGTGAACGTGTGGGACTTCAGGAGTAATGATTGAGTACTGGGAGGAAAGCTTATGAAAGACTGATGTTCCGGTTGATTTGCTGGGTGACTTTTAAAAGACAGGCTTCCCATGAACACTGGTTCTTCAGACAAATGTCAGAGAACATTCATCAGGAGACTGACATTAAGTCCCAGAAATAAAGTTATCTCATTTAATAATATATATCTACAACATAAAAACATAAAAATCTACATGGAGCCCAGAACTTCTCTTAATATCAGGCAATCTAGACTTGCCAAATCATTCTAGACTTGAGTTGGGACTCCTTTTAATTTTTTTCTGTCTGGGACACAGTGTAATTGATCAGAAGAGTCATTTTTAATTGAGAATGAGGGAGTTGGATTTGCCACTGTTTTGATAGTTTTTATGTTATGTCATATATGTGTGGGAAGGAAAACGTGAATGACCTGCTCTCACTATTAAAATGAAAGGAGAGAATTTGGTGAAATATCTGTTATTTTATGGTGTGAAAAAATAGTGAAATTCTTTACTGTGCATCATTTTGCAGTCTGTAGACTTAAATGCCCCAAAATAAAAAAAATAAATTAGCCTTGAAAAGGGTAATTATTTGATAAAAAAAATATAGCCAGGAGTGTGCGGTGATGAAATTAAACCCCTAGCCCCGCTGTCTCAAATAAACATAGCACCTGCCCTGTTTAGATAAATTTCAGTCCACACTCCAGTGAAGATCAGTTCCAACAGGTAGTTTTGAGTGTACACAGATCGTCCATGCATGAAACACAATGAATTCCTCCGAGACTGAATGAAGATTTCACGAACTGCACTGAATGTGGGCCCTGACCTAATTGAAGCAGGCGATTGAGTGTAGGGGCTGATACTTGGGATATGTTATGATAACATCATCACGCATGTCCCTCCTTCAAACACCACCATCAACAAACTGGAAGCTCATTTCATCAACATGTCAGACAGTCTGTGTAATCATTCTCAAGTGAAACAACCACTTCCTCCGAGGAATGTGCTTGGCTAATGATCCTAGTTATGTTGGATTAGTATTGAAGCGGGTTTAGTCATCTGTAATGGTTGGTTATACACCCTGGGCTCGGTGCCAAATCGCAAGATGCTGATAATTGTAGTAGGCAGTCTGTGTGATGATATCAAATACATTGCTCAGCTGGCCAGTGTTTTGTATTCCCCAATACTTCTCTGTTGCATGAATGGACCCGTAAAGATCCGGGGTAGAATAGATCTTCAGCAACCCATGCTTGCCATAAAAGGCGACTATGCTTGTCGTAAAAGGCGACTAATGGGATCGGGTGGTCAGGCTCGCTGACTTGGTTGATGCATGTCATCGATCACAATTGCGTGGATCGATGCTCATGATATTAATACTGGATTGTCTGGTCCAGACTTGATTATTTACAGACCGCCGTCATATAGCTGGAAAATTGCTGAGTGCGACGTTAAACAGCAAACCAACTGTTGCATGAATGGCGAATATTTCTCTGCTTTTGTTTGCCTAGCTGCAGGCTTACATTATTAAGGGCTGATAACTGTCTGAATTCCTATAATAGCACAATTTTGTGTTTGTTCTGGGGAATAAAAATGTTTTGTTCAGAAACTATGTCAAACTCCGGTACGGAATATTAACAAGTATCTCCAGTTTATATGACACAATGAATGCCAAAATGTATTCTGAATATGGATTTGATATTAAACTGTAAATGAGTATAAGATAGGGACGTCATCTAGGATATCAGCACATATACATGGATAGTCTGTCTCACAGACCCTGGACCATATTTTTTCCCTGTATATATGGAATAAAAAGCATATTTTACCTGTTGTATAGGTGTGGAGTGGTATAAGGGCAGTTCTAGGTTATTGTACTGGCTTGTGACACACTGTAACATAGTGTATTCCTTGTTACAGATTCTTCAGTGAATACTGAACCTAAAGTCATTTTGGGTGATAATAATTTGTTGAATAATTTGAATTTTTTCAGAAACTATACATGCTATAAGAGCCAGAGGCAACTGTTCGAAAGAGGATATTATGTAAAATGTTTATGGTAAATCTTTTGCAGAATGAATTGGGTATTGATAGTTTTTTTATTGCTGCTCAAAGTAATCAATATAATATAACTGAATATTAGCAATAAATCAGCCGCAATAATGAAGCTGGACAGTGTAGAGACCTGAATATTTTTAAATTTCCGTCATTCTTCTACCATAGAAGTTTGTTTGTTATGTGTTGTTCAACTCTGTGCTCATTAAAAGTATGTGCCAAAACCTTTTCAGTCTACTAGCCCAAACTTGGCTCTTGACGAAAACATCATTTTCAAAAGATTTTAGTGTTAATATATAGACTGCTATCAGCAGAGTTTACTTGACCGAACAGAATTTTACTTGACTCAGTTTTTGGAATTGACCGAACAGAATTTTGCTTGACTCAGGCTTTGGACTAGTGGCTAAAGCCACAGACATATTACAGGTGTTTTATGACAGCAGGATGTAATTCATTGAGCCTGGACAAGACGATCCAGTGATTGATATTATGAGCATTGAAGTCACTGGGTTATGTTTGCACAATACCACGAGCAATCAGCAAAGTCACTTAGTCTGACCACCCCATCCACGACAGCAGGGGTAGAATAGGTCTTCAGCAACCCATGCTTGCCATTAAAGGCGACTATGCTTGTCGTAAAAGGTGACTAACAGGATCGGGTGGTCAGGCTCGCTGACTTGGTTGATGCAGGTCATCGATCCCAATTGCGCGGATCGATCCTCATGATATTAATCACTGGATTGTCTGGTCCAGACTCGATTATGTACAGACCGCTGTCATATAGCTGGAATATTGCTGAGTGCGGCGTAAAACAACAAACCAACCAACCAACCAACTCTATGACAGCAAGAGGTTGCTGTGACCTATTCTAGCCTGGAATACCATAGACCCTTTGTTTTTTTGTTTTATATTATATCTTATATCTTATATCTTATATCACGGAACAGGGATGAATGCTGGAAGTATGTTATTAGGCATTGACTGTCAGGACTACTGCCAGCACAAAAGAACTTGGCTAGTTACTGATAGTCAAACGGTTTACATCTTGCACAATGTCTTGTCCGTTTTCATGGTGTGAACACTTTATTCTTGTCTTCAGAAACTGTTGAAAGCAACTGTTTTCTGAAAATATATAGTGAATAGAAACCGAAACTGATTTGATTGAGAATGAATGATTATTATACGATCACATCACCAATCCAAGCAGGAAATAAAAAGCAGTGTTCCTGTGACATGCAAACCTGTTGATCAGTCAAATGTGAGGGATTAAATACTGTATTCGACGTAATAAGTGCCCCGCTCTATTAAGCGCCCACGGCGATATTTGCTAATATATTGGCAAGTGAACAATCCCAATCAGCACCCCTTCCGATTGATCAATGCACACAAGTCTTATTTATTCGTGTATAATACGCACTCGTGTGTTATATCACCCTTAATTATGGGCAATTAAATTCTTAAAAAATATATCTGTCGTATGTAAACATTTCAGGCTGTTAGCATAAACCACGAAATTTACAATCTTTCAACTCAAAATGATATTCTAATAAGAGCCCCCTATTTCTAATTTTGAGAGCGCCCTGAGCGCTTATTACGTTGAATACGGTAAATGTAAACTGCAGTCAGGTAGTCTGAAAGTATTCAAGTCTTAAACCAGTGGTTGACAGCATGAGCAGTGACCCAGACTCCATTATTTACGAACCTCTATGACATGGCTCAAATATTGCGGATTTCCGCATAAAACAACATTCACCAATGCAGGAGTGTGTCATTAATGCGGTTACTGAGTTGGAAGGCAATCTGTTGAAACTAGTGCATTGTGTTTCAGTTCTACTTGCAAGACACGAAGAGCAGCAATGGCACCTTCATCAACAACCAGAGGCTATGTAAGGGAGGGGAGGAGTCGCCCCCCAGGGAAATATTCTCCGGAGATCTCATACAGTTCGGGGTCGAGGTCATGGAAAACAACCGGAGAGGAGAGAAAAGTAAGTTTACACTTGCATTGAACATTTCAATGTCATATCAGATCAGAGTGGAAGGTCCGGGGTTCGATCCCGGGCCGCGTCATACCAAAAGACGTTAAAAGATGGTACTTGTTGTTACCCTGTCTGGCGTTTGGCATTAAGAGCTAAAACAAGGACTGGTCGGCTCGGAGTCAGTATACTGTGTCTGAGTGGGGTATTCATGTTAAACTGTGGCATGGTATCTCAGTGAGCTAGCACTATAAATCGGCATCAGTCCGGACTAGTACAAGCAGCCACACAAACACACACACGTACATGCACGTCGCTATATAAGTGCAATAATCTTGGACGCGACGTTCAACCCCATTTCATCTCATCATAACAGATCGGAATAGTTGTCAATGAACTATAGTCTGGAAGGTAATTTAAGGTACCGACGTTTACTACAATATCTGAAAAACTATCGGACCCACTCCAGTCAAAGTTGGTATGAGATTATTAAACAGTCATCAGTGTCTGCTCTGGCTTAAATTTTCTTGGGGTCACTTGGACCCCTTCATCATAAAATTAGGGGTCCCAAACAAAAATGGAGGGGTCTAATTTATAGCATTATAACATAACATTAACAACAGAACACAGTGGTTGTGAAAAATAAGAAATCTTTTCGCAACTGCAAAATATCAACAAACAGGCAAAGTGAGAGAAAGGTTCACATCAGGGCACATCCTGCTCTCATAACCAAGAGGTTTACATTAAGGGACAAACAATTTCTTAAAAGGGACATTTGATATTAATGAATATTATAACACAAAATTATCCATGTTAATATCTAACTTCGTATATGAAAAGGCAGTACACGGGTCAGCCATTGGTAAGGGGTCATTGTGACAGACATTTGTGAATGTTTTTACCGAGATCTACCAATGATTTGAAGTTTTGGATTCAGTTAAGTTCAATAGCTGTTCTGATGCTACTGTACTGAGCATTGAGTTCATGTTGTAACTGTGACAATGATCAATGAGTCATAAAATATAATTGGCATATCAAACGTTTTTTTAGTAAGAGTATGTTCAGGATCCAGCATTTCCTTGATAAATCAACATGTTTCAGGTGCTATAAATGTTTAAACATGTCAGTTACACCAATAACGGTCCTGGCAAAATGTGTTTTGCAATTCTTAATATAACTCACAAGAGATTGAATTATTATCAGCTTGATAAGTCTGTTGTAGAATAACTAAATATTCAGAGTCCGCTAAATAAAAACAATGCTTACATCATTGTACATTCAAGTGTTCGCATTCATTCTTTATCATATACAGTATCGCGGTATTGATAAATCTCGTAATCCACACAACCTGTCGACTGTTTACTTATGCAAATCTAAGCACGATATATTTCATCGCATGATCGAATACAGGACTCGTTGCGGTATGTCACGGCTACTTGTACACACGTTAACTTTTTTATGACAGTTCCTGGGATGTTTTTGAAGTGGAATTACCCCTTCCTCCATTCAAAATTGATTAGAAAAAGAACCCATTTGTTCAAACGAAGTCCCTTGACCAAACCTCGGTCGTATGCAAAATTCAAAACAGGAAGTGATATACCATATAATCCACACAGCCTTACTTACTGCGGTAAGATTCACCAATGACAGGTACTTTGTTTACCGAACTTGGTAAAGAAAATCAGCATCAATCATTCCAATGAACAACAAACATTTTGTGAATCACATATTTAATAAGTTTGTAAGCGTGCCCCACTACGATCCATTATAAATTAACTACCGCGATAACATAGCGTATCATCCTACACGGTCGCTCCATTTCGCGGGTCACTGTTACCACGTTCTGAAGTATACCCTGGCTATTTTTAGTTTGACACAAGGTCAGGATGTTTTCGACCAATCAGCAAGCTAAATTAATTACGACTATATCCGACTTGCTTAATATGTGGCACCTGATTGGCTGAAGCAAAGCTACGGACCATACCGAAAATTAATACATGCAAAACCGACAATAGATATAGGTCAAGAAACCGGTTTGGGTATTTGTCATAAAAAGGGAGAGAATAATGAAACTGGTTTGGTTTAGCAAACGGAAGTGTTAATCAACATGCTTCGCTGTCTTGTTTGGCAACAAATACCTTTACGCAAAGACGTACGTCTTTGATTTACGATATCAGTGTCAATTCAATATGAAATTAATATAGCCCCAGTCACTGCGTCCACGAGACCCACACATGTTACGCAGGTGCGTTCAAACTTATTTTTGTGCGTCCAAGACGCAAAAACGCGCTCTTCAGCCAACACTGAGTCATACATAACTGGATATTACATTTAAAGACAATCGGTGCATGAACATTTGAACCAATCAACTCAACTCGAAAGGGTGCACGGGAATCACGCACGTTGAGACGCTCAACGCTAACACCGTATTCGTGCGTGCGTGATTCCCGTGCACCCTCTCGAGCTGAGTAGATTGGTTCAACTGTGTCATATGGCCCTGTGACGCAGGGGGAGCATTACGCAGATCGCTGTTTCAATGAATGCTCGTTCCACCCGTGACGAACAGGTCTGGTTGTTGATGAAATATAGTGATAGCTAAATAGACAGATTATTTATTCATGCACCAATTGTCTTTAAATGTTATATCCAGTTATGTGTGACTGTTTAATAATCTCATACCAACTTTGACTGGAGTAGGTCCGATAGTTTTTCAGATATTGTAGTAAACGTTGGTACCTTAAATTACCTTCCAGACTATAGTTTAGGATGTTGTATAGAGTTGTGTCCCTTTGACATAAGACTGAATCCCAGATTTGCCCCAATTGTGAGACCTGTGTTTGTGGGTTTCATAGAAGTGGTTACTATCTATGACCTGCGTCGTTTTGGACTTGACCAACATGTGATGCTGTGGTAGCACTGAAAACATGCTCTTAGCAGCATTTCACACTCTTTGCAAATAACATGGAAAATTCAGTGAGGATATTTTATGTGGTACTGTATGAGGCGGTTAGAGGGATTTTAAAGGAGCTTCCGTTCCTGTCAGCACAATGTATGTATTCTCTCATATGAGATTGCTGTAATCTGGCAAATGCAGGGTTAGGACTGTGGTCAAAGGGAAGTAACTCTAGCATCCTAATTCAGCTCATGCTTGAGACTGTTGTTTTGGTTTGACAGCCCAGCTGTCTGTTTACCTTCTCACAAATATTCTTGTGTATGTCTGCTATGTGGTTTATAAGGAAGTTGGAAAAATATAAATTTGTCTTGTTATATTTTTTTGTTAATTTAATGCCTCATTGACTTCAAATGAACATATTAGCAGACTGTAGATTTAAATACAAATACAAACTTTCTCCTGTAACTGATGGTGTCTTGGTGTTCTGGGGCAATCATGGTGTTGTTAACTTGTTAACTAATGTGAAAATTACAACCAACTTGCCCCAAGAAGATGTATACACTTGATCAGTCTGCAACTTTAGCCACTAGTCTAATGCCTGAGTCTAGTAAAATTCTGTTCGGTCTAGAAAGCTCAGCTAATGATAATCCATATAATGACACTAAATTCTACTGAAACTTATGCTAAGCCATGTTCTGGCTAGAAGTCCTAAAGCTTTTGGCACAAAGTGGTGTATCTGTAATTATCTTTTTACTTTTTCACATAAACTGTAAGTAAATCTCCACTGCTTTGGGATGGAAATTGATCCTTATGAACCAATATTTCCTCTATCTGCCTTTCTCATGTCTGAAGTTAACAGTGCCAGATGCCATTATGACTTCATGTAGTTGCAGGGGGCATGGGCAGCCCAGTCGTCTAAGGCGCCGCTATTTGCTGTGCAGAATTGCGTCCTTTTGGCACGCCAGAAACCTATGATTGTGGGTTCGAATCCCGGTTCGCCCCGATTATGATTCTAGGTTTGTCAGCACCATACCCGTGATGTGGGTTTCACCGAAGTGGTAAACGTCTGAGAACTGCATCACTTGGGGCTTTCCTCCCACATTAAGCTGACACGCCGTGATATAACTGGAATAATGTTAAAAGCGGCGTTAAACCCAACTCACTCACTCACTCACTCATGTAGTTGCCATAGGTATGATTCTACAAGAGTAGACATGAGGTATTGCACAGGCAGATTTGGAGAGTTTGATGTGCAACTAATTCTTAGGCTACTTCGAAACAGGTATTAATGGTCATGTTTGTGTATTGTATATATCTAAAAATCAGGAATGTTGCCATGTCAGAGTTTGTATTTTTGTAACAATCGAGCAATGATAGAAACAAACAGTTCTAGCTCACTAGTCCTTATAATGATAACATATAGCAAAACCCTTAAAAAGGGTAAATTTATACTGGTCCTTAGGATACCTTACTATTGAGTAGTTTGACAAGGACTATAGGACTAGTGCCAATTTCTCAAGTATTTTCAATCTGAGGTATCTTACAAGATTATGTTTACATTTAATCAGTTTTCACTCATTACATTTGCAGCAGGTGTTGCTATTCAAACATTCTGGTCTACAAAGGCTAGTTTCTTATATAGCTAGGTCACACATCCCCATTCATTGAGTGAATATACTGTATATAGACAGAGCTTCAGATGCACGTTCAGGCTCCATGAATAGGCCACTGTTAGGATGGCAAAACATTTGGAAGTATTCAGCTTTCTCAGTTTGTCAGAACAGTTGGAACTATTTAGTTTTGTGAGTTTTTCTGAAGGAATATATCATTTAGGTTAGTATGTTGGTTGTGAGCAGGTGTTGTATTCATGACATGTTTATCTGGTGGCCATTGCTGGAATAGTAATCACTTGCAGATAGGTCGCTACTGGGTGGGGTATACCAACTTGCTACAGCGGTACATAATGTGCATTTTGTAGTTTGTTCATTCGCAGGTACGTAGTATGTAATCAAAATGTAATCTGTGTTTCACAGGGTTAGAAATTGGCACTTGTCCTGTAGTCCTTGCCAAACTGCCCAATAGTTTGGAATCCTAAGGGCTAGTATCTGCCCTTTTTAATGGTTTTGCCATATGTGTTTTCATTATCAGGGTTAGAAACTAACAGTTTTTGTCCACTAGTCCTTATAAAATATAGCAAAACCCTTAAAATGGGCCAATTTCTACTTGTCCTTAGATACCTTTACTATTGGGCGGTTTGGTAAGGACTACAGGACCAGTGCCAATTTCTAACGCTGATTTTAAGGACTAGTGGCTAAAACTGTTAGCATGGTGAATGTGGTTATTTAGGGTGGTTCTAATATGGCAGTCGGAGTTGGAATAATGATGCCTCTTCATGGAGGCTGTAGGATATATGTTATTGCTATCAGCAATCTGCTGAGGAGACATTGAGGAAATAAAGTTCCGACCTGTTTTGATTGCTCTCAGAATGGTGGATTTGCCCTATTTCCACCATTCTGCGACTAAACACGCTGGGACCTTCATTTCTTTTAATCTGTCCTTTGTTTTATTCTTTTCTTTGTGTGTACATGGTGTAAGTGTTTTTTTTGATTTAATTAGAATGTTGTGAGTTGAAATTAAGCCTGGTACAAGCTGCTTCCTGTAGTGAGACCTGCCAGACGAGTTTCAGGAACATGAATTCTAGACGAGCAACTTGCTGCCACCGATATGTTGTGTGTCAGTGTAGACTCTGTATTGTGGTTTCAGTCACCCACGGTTGTATTGTGGCCACCATTGTACTCTACCATCCAGACGGGAGGGAGGCCACGCCAGCGTGAGTACAACACTTCGTTTCTTGTTATGTCTTGACTCAGGGTAAGGGGTGTTAGGGTGGGTTGGTGAAGTGTCGACAGGTAGCTCTGAAATGTGATGACGGGTCAACAGGTAGCCCTGAAATGTGACGACGGGCCAACAGGTGGCCCAGAAATGTGACGACGTGTCAACAGGTAGCCCTGAAATGTGATGACGTGTCAACAGGTAGCCCTGAAATGTGATGAAGGGTCAACAGGTGGCCCTGAAATGTGATAAAGGGTCAACAGGTGGCCCTGAAATGTGACGACAGGCCAACAGGTGGCCCTGAAATGTGATGAAGGGCCAACAGGTGTCCCTGAAATGTGACGACGGGTCAAAAGGTTGCCCTGAAATGTCATGACGTGTCAACAGGTGGCCCTGAAATGTGATGAAGGGCCCACATGTGGCCCTGAAATGTCATGACGGGCCAACAGGTGGCCCTGAAATGTCATGACGTGTCAACAGGTAGCCCTGTAATGTCATGACGTGTCAAGAGGTAGGCCTGAAATGTCATGACGTGTCAACAGGTAGCCCTGAAATGTCATGACGGGTCAACAGGTAGCCCTGAAATGTCATGACGTGTCAACAGGTAGCCCTGAAATGTCATGACGGGTCAACAGGTAGCCCTGAAATGTCATGATGTGTCAACAGGTAGCCCTGAAATGTCATGATGTGTCAACAGGTAGCCCTGAAATGTCATGACGTGTCAACAGGTAGCCCTGAAATGTCATGACGTGTCAACAGGTAGCCCTGAAATGTCATGACGGGTCAATAGGTGGCCCTGAAATGTGACGAAGGGCCAACAGGTGGCCCTGAAATGTGATGACGGGTCAAGAGGTGGCCCTGAAATGTCATGACGTGTCAACAGGTGGCCCTGAAATGTGATGACGGGTCAATAGGTAGCCTTGAAATGTGATGAAGGGTCAACAGGTAGCCCTGAAATGTGATGAGGGGTCAAGAGGTAGGCCTGAAATGGAATGACAAACAACAGAAGTTTGTTATCCACAATGTTATCATGTAGGTTAGTTGATCAAGTGTACAACTAGAAGGCTATTTCTTATCTGTTGATTGAAAGTAGGGTCTAAATCTTTAGGCCAGGCTTTTTTTATTTTAGGATTACAGATTTTTCAGCCAAAGTTCAGGGTTGGAGGAGGAAAAAAAAAGAAGCCAGATGCATTTTTTTAAATGCAGAATGCCTCTAGCATACTTTATGAACATATTCTGTGCTCAAAAGACTGCCATTTGTGACGATAAAGGCTATCGGTGGGAAAAAAATAAATGGAAATATGTTTGTTTTGTTTTTTTACATTTTCTCAAAAATCGGCGGGTCCATAATCCGAAAAATATAAAACGCCTGGCCTTACTTTAACTGAAGACATGCCTGTCAGGCAACTCACTGACATGTAGTCTTTGAATGGCAACAGTTTCTGTATCTGTCACATTTCAATGAACAACAAATAGTTTGCGTGTTTTGTGCAACACATGTAATTAACATATTTAGCATTTATATATCAATTTAATTGCAGTTATAACCATGTAAACATTGTTAGCGACTGTAATTTAGGCCTTAGATGCCTCTGCAGTGAAACTGTTCTGATTTACTTGACATGGACATTGACTGACTTGATTCTTGAGGCCTTTGTCAAGCAACTCTACCATTACTAGTTTTCATGTGCAAGTTTGCCTGTTAAGATCCGGGGTAGAATAGGTCTTCAGCAACCCAAGCTTGCTAAAAAATGCGACCACGCTTGTTGTAAGAGGCAACTAACAGGATCAGGTGGTCAGACTTGCTGACTTGGTTGATGCATGCCATCGTATCCCAATTGCGTGGATCTATGCTCATGATGTCAATCACTGGATTGTCTGGTCCAGACTCGATTATTTACAGACTGGCGGAATATTGTTGGAATGTTGCTGAGCGCGGCGTTAAACAACAAACAAACAAGACCAAAAAAATCATGTGCAAGTTTCTGTGATTTTATCACTTGGTAGATTTTGTGTACACCACATACCTGATAGTCCCTTGTACCTCAATCTGATTGCATTTTGTTGGTCAAGGTGTAGCATCTTATATGACATCTTTGGTTTTACACAGTTATGTTTATTAATTCATTAAAACACACCCATGTAATATACAGCGTTAAATGTTAAATTGGTAAATCTGTTGAAAGTTATGCTGGAAGCCTATTTCAAGGTTGTTCATTTTATTTCCTTTGACAGATGGCAAAAGTATCCAATTTATGAGTGGAAATTAGTATTCAACCTGGAGCAGCGGAATATGAAATAGAATTATGACATCTTTATGGGATAATGACAGCTTCCTTCGCATGTAGCATAATAAATTAATTCAGTCAGTTTGGTTTATGCAGGTCACTCACTGATGCATGATTCATGAAAAAATAATCTTTTAAAACTTAGCTGATGCATCAACTTCTTCTTCATCCTGAGGGCAGTGGGGTAGCCTTGTGGTTAATGCGTTTGCTCGTCAACTCAATCGACTGGATTTGAATCCCCATGGTACATTGTGTGAAGCCTATTCAGTGTTTGAAATTGAGCATGACAGTCTGTTGGTCCTTGTCGTAACTGTCGACCCGTGGAGATTCCGGGGTAGAATAGGTCTTCAGCAACCCATGCTTGTCGTAAAAGGTGACTATGCTTGTCGTAAAAGGCGATTGCGTGGAGCGATGCTCATGATATTAATCACTGGATTGTCTGGTCCAGACTCGATTATTTACAGACCGCCGTCATATAGCTGGAATATTGCTGAGTGAGGCGTTAAACAACAAACCAACTAACCAACCAACCAACCAAATCATATTGAATATTTAACATTGAAGAGATCCAGGGTTCAGGTACTATAGGAGCAAACATCAAGGACCCAGGACCCCAAATTATTTTGATCACTGCCATTGTTGGTGCCCCCCCGTCATGATATTGCTGTAATACTAGAGCTGTTACAATTCACTTGCATATTCGGTGAATCGAACCGTACCCATTCATGAATTGAATTCGTTATTCGTGGCCTCTAGAATCAAATATTTGTGTACATGCAAGCATGTGCATTTAAATAAAAATATCCATAAGAACATATGATATGCATAAATTTCTTCAAAAGACAACACTCTTATACTATTTGATTTGATGGTATTGTGGTCACTGGTCATTGTCACATTTGTGCAGATACTAGAACCTGGATAAGTGCAGTATATAAATGTATAATATATTAATAATTAACAAACCATGTCAAATAAATGTTGTTATTGCTTCACTGAATATAACAAATAATACATCAGCTTCTGACTTGTTACTGTATTCGTGAATTAATATTCGTATTCGTTACCCTATATTCATGATACAAATCGTATTCGCCTCATAGTGTATTTGTTGCAGCCCTATGTAATACTGCTAAAAGTGGTGTAAGACAGTACTCACTCATTACAAGTTACAACTTGTGAAGATCCGGGGTTAGATAGGTCTTCAGCAACCCATGCTTGCCATAAAGACAACTACGCTTGTCATAAGAGGCGACAAACAGGACTGGGTGGTCAGGCTTGCTGACTTGGTTGATGCATGTCATCATATCCCAATTGCGTGGATCGATGCTCATGATAGCAATCACTGGATTCTCTGGTCCGGACCCGATTATTTACAGACCACTGTCATTTAGCTGGAATGCTGCTGAGTGCTGTGTTAAACAACAAGCAAACAAACTTAAGTTACAAACGTATGTATTCCGATGTAATAAAACCATCATGTATCATAACCGTTCCACAAAGTTATCTTAGCGCTACGACTGTCATAAGCCTATGTTTAAGTATGGGAGTTACGATCATCTTACCGCTTAGATCGCTTTGTGGAACAGGGCCCTCGGCCCCGTTTCACAAAGCGATCTTAGCGCTACGACTATCGTAAGCCAGTGTTAAAGTATAGGAGTTATGATAACCTTAGCGCTAAGATGGCTTTGTGGAACGTGAACCTGGGTAACATTCAACCAGTCCTGCTGTATCATTTCTACACTGTGTGGGGGGCACGGGTGGCCCAGTCGTCTAAGGCGCAGCGATTCGCTGTGCAGAGTTGCGTCCCTTGGGCACGCCAGAAACCTATGATTGTTGGTTCAAATCCCGTTTCGCCCCGATTATGTTTCTAGGTTTGTCAGCACCATACCCGTGCTCGTGGGTTTCACCGAAGTGGTAAACGTCTTAGACCTGCATCAGTTTGAGCTTTCTTCCCACATTAAGCTGACACGCCGTGATGTTACTGGAATACTGTTAAAAGCGGCGTTAAACCCAACTCACTCACTCACATTACACTGTGTGGTGTCGCTGTTACCGCAGTTCCAAATGTTTACACGCCAGTGTAAGCCAGCCGGCTGATAATGCCAGTTTATTGCTCTGGCCTATATTCCCTTCATATAAAGCAGTCGGTGGAAGTGGTAACAGAGAACAACTTGGAACAAGCTGCTGGTCTTCGCCGCTCAATTTGTGCATGTGCCAGCTGACATCATGGCTAAATGCCTACAATATTAAACACCCATTGTGGTATGTGCTCGTAAATGTCACTTCTCTGTAATGTTTTTCATACATAATAGCAGGACAATTCGGGTTGAAAGGTAGCTATATTTGGCATAGAATATACATATGCAGGTAAGCCTTGTTAACTCTGTCCATGAACTTCTTTTATCTATCAGACAGTGAATCCTTATTAATACCAATTGGGTCCGTCACTTAATGAACCATATACAACAAGTTAATTTGTTGTCAGAGATCGTGCGGTAGAGAACAATCTTGGTTCAAATGTCAATGAAACTGAAATGTTTTTAGGAATAGTTTCTGGGCAATTACGTACCTCTTCTGTAAGAAAATATCCGGTAAAATACACAAGAAAATATGGTCAGTCACATACTTTTTTAGGCTTGGTATGATCACTGACTTTATACCATCTTCATGAGGCAAGGGAGTTAACTGACTATAAAAGTCCAGTTTC